CCCGGCACAGCGGGAAACGAAAGTGCTGCGGAGGGCGGCGGCGGCCGGGCAGCAAACCGGGAAACGAAACTCGTGCTGAGCAGGAGCCGCCAGCCGCCAGCCCCCAGTGTGAACCCCACACTTTTGCTGTTCACTGCCTTGACAATGAGACGTTAATGCTTTTGGAAGTAAAACAAACGGTCTTTTACAAGCCTACAGTGTTTTCATAGCTTTATGATGGCTTTGGGTACAGACTAACGTCTTTTGGCCAATTTCAGCTTTCATCAGCTTGGAGGCAGGAACCAGAAGCACTGCAAATAGCTGTAGTAGTTATTGAGTTTCATGACAGCTGCTCTGAGTGATATTGTCTAAAAATGTGGATTTTGAGTTTGTAAAACGTATAACCTGAAGCGTAAGAGAACGTGCACCTCTGCAGAATTCTACTTTACTCTCTCAGTTGTTGGAAGACTGCCACTTAGAGACACGTGTGGGTACGCTTCTGATGTATCTTCTGAAAGAGTATGTTCCACAAGAGAATGTATTTTCTGACAAGAGATTCAGCAGAAACTTGATGTCCTCCTCTGGTCAGCTCCAAGCACGTTGCACAAATATCTTCTGTTTGGCAGGTCTACAGGGAGAACGGAGCAGCTGGTAGGCAGTAAAAGGTTAGCTAGAGATCAGCTATATCAGTGGGAAAGCGCCAATGCTAGGGACACTGGTGGAAGGCTGGGCCAGAGCAGGAACTGGGAATGTAGCCATAGAAGCTATTCAAATAGAAGCTCAGCAGCAGGTACTAAAACTGGCTTTTTCAAGGCAAAACATTCCCTTTCTCAGATATGAGAACACTTGCATTGTTTCACATTACTCATAAGCACATGGCTACAGATCCTGGGTATGGATGGCAGAAGACATGGGGGCGAGACATGGTTTGTTACATAATAAGCCAATAGATACTGATTTTAAGAACATAAGGAAATGCACTACTGAGTCAGATTAATGGTCCATCTAGCCCAATATTTTGTCTCCAACACTGACAGAAGGACATGCTGCACATGAGCCGACTTATTTTTGGTCTCTTCCCTCAGTCTTCGTGCTTCTTCAGCATCCACAGTCATTGGATTAGGAATGTTCACCTGCTCCTTTTAGCACCTATTAATGAATCTATTGTCCACAAATCTGTCTAAATCCCTTTTTGACTCTGTGACACAGTCTACCTCCACAAATGCCCCAAATTCCAGCAACCTGTTGCATAGAAAGATTTTTTTTTTTTTAATCTGTTTCAAACTCATATCCTACTGGTTTCAAAAAACACCCCCTTCTAATAGTACTGTAGGCTTTGGTGATTAACAGTTCCACATTCAGCTTATTTATCACCTTCATGATTTTGTAAACAATGCTCAGATGTCCCCCTCAGCTTCATCATGTCTGAAGTGCAGAGCCCCAACCCCTTGTAAGGCAGCTGCTCCATTCCCTTCATTGTTTAGTTACAGGGATAATTTCGTTAACACCACTAGGTCCTGCTGAGATGCAGAGACCTGAACTGTACACACTTCTCAAGATATGACTATGCATACCAAGGTGTTATGGAACAGCAAAATAATATACCTTCTGCTTTGTTCTCAATACCTTACCTTGTTTTCAACACCTTTCCTGATGATACCCAAATTTTTGTTGACTTTTTTTGGCTGCTGCTTGTATTAGGCCAATGATTTCAGTGGTAGGGCCACTACTGAGCTGAGCATTATATAAACATGGTTTGGATTTTTTTTTTTTCTTATATGCATTACCTTACACTGAATGTCATCTCTGGCTTTTTTATTCATTCGGTTTTGTGAGGTACAATAGTTCTGCAGCCAAGTTTCACTTGAAAAAACTGACTCTGTTCCTCACTGAGCTTTCTAGGTCATTGCTCCTCTGTTTTCCCAGCTTCCTGATGCCACAGTTGCTTTCCCTTCCCTGCTGAATAAATGGAAAGATTTTACTTTCATTTCACCTTTTCCCCGCCCACCACAAACCATATGTCACTGTTTTGATCTGACCCTGCATGCAAGCATGTTTGAGCTGTGTTGCTTCATTCCTCCTCATTTAAAATATGCTTGTGATAACACTCTTAAGACGCCTGTGACATCTACCCTACTGGCTAATTTCTTAAAAGTGTCTTGCAAGATAACAGGCCCTTCCCATCACATACACAAATAGTTTAGGTAAAAGTAAGGGAAACCACAGCTGCTTTCTTTCTCCAAGATGAATCTTTATCTGTATTTAAAGTCAGTATACAGAGTATGAATCTGTTTTAAAATAAATATCTACTAAGCACTTTTCTGTTTCTTCACAAGGACCCTTATCATTTTATGTTGTGCTGAATGTGAAAGGATGTTTTGAAGACCTGTGTGAAAAACACTATTTTGCTGGAACCTCTTCATATCTTTGAGGACCTGTTTTGCTTATATGTAGCCACAGGGAAGAAATAGAGTCACAACAAGAGGCAGGTATGACCATTCAACCACTCTCTGATCCACACAAACTAGAAAAGAGAAAAAAAATGTGAAAATAAGTAAGTTAGCCTGTAGCTTTAAAAATATATCTAAGTGCACGGTCCTGTAGTGTAGATAAACAGCTCTCTGAGACATACTTTGGGAAGTAAGATAAATTACTTAAGTTGAAGGCCTGTAGGAATACGTAAAATACACATGAATGGGATGTAGCAGTTTTCATGCAGAATAAACTTTGAAGATAGTAAAGATAATGATGTGGGGATTAGATCATAAGACCATAAAAGTGTCAAGTGAAAGACCCATCTACCCCGTTCGTGACGACGGCTGGTGTCAGATGTTTGAGGAACAGTACGGGAAGGACACAGAAGACATACTATCTCCTGGCATACTGTCCCAGATTCTAGGACGCATCTCTTAAGTACTTCCTGAGCTGGAGCTCATGTATACATTATCACGTATTAAGGGCCCATGGCGAATTTCTTTCATTCGTGCCTAATCTGTGAGCTCATATTTACACTGCAGCGTCCTGTGGCAATATGTTCCATAGCTTCACTTCATGTCTGATTTAACTTTCTGGTTAGTAGTTTCGGTGGGGACTCCTTGGGCTCTTGTATTGCAAGGAGGACTGAGCTGCCATGGCATGACATGCCTGGTTGTCCTTGGATCATTTCAGGGAACGGTTCTCAAATTGTACTCTGCTGGTGGTGCACAGGGCCAGCATGAGAATGTCTCCTTCTTACATCAGGGAGTGAAAAACATTCCTTATGTTATTGGTTCATGCCAGTAATTTTTTTCCTATCAGGATCCTGTCTGACTGGAACTGAAACCAGCCACACTAGAGAAAGTAATCTCTTTATTTCAATAAATGAAAATAATTTATTTAGATAAGTAACATATTCTTATTTTAAATTTTTGCGTCTCTAGTGTCGCAGATGAGTGGGGAATGATGCACTTCACTCATAAGGGAGAAGCAGCAATATGTTCTATTGATATAAGATACTGGTTTAATAAAGATCAAAGGTAAATAAGACGGTGGTTTAACAAGATTCAATGGCAAGGTTCACTTGGTTATTTACTGCACAGAGGACAGGGTCAGACGAAATTGTCAAGAAGACCCTCCCGTTGAGTCGTGGGGTTCAGGGTGGACTCCCTTGCTTTCCAAACTCCTACCTCGTCCCAGACTTAGTCAACAGTTCACAATAAATCTGAGGAGTGGATGAAGAAAGCTTTTATAATTGCCATTTTCTAAGGTAGCATAGAGAAAATGTTGGAGAATAAGAAGTCTCAGGTAAGCTTGAGTGTTAGGTTCTCTGCACTTTTTTTTTTTGCACTCTGAGATCCTGACTTTCAAACAAAAGCATCTGAAAAATGGTAGTGTTCTGGTCTAGTGGTTCATCGAATAGCATTCTGCTGCCATACTCTTGGCACCCATCAGATGCAAGTCTTGTGTTGAGAGAAACTGGTAATCATTTTGGATTTTTTAATACTTTAGGAAATGATATGTTTTGGACCTTCTTTTCCTATCCAGTGCTTTGCCTCAGCACTAGGTAAAGAGCTCAGGGATAAGATCGCCATAGACTTCAGTCACTTTGCCAACCTCGTGGCTATTTATGGATCTTCTATACGGCCCAAACGTGTAGAAGGTCAGGAAGGTTACTTAGACGAGGTGAGCTAAGTGATAAATCTGTCACCTGCAAAAACAAGGTCTCTGTGTAAAACTAATTACAAGTCAGAGAGAGTGGCTTTGATGGCATACATACATGTATGCACACATACAAACGCACACAAACACACTGAGCATTTATTGTGATGCATGACTTGAAAAGTGTTGTAACTGTCTTTAAGATGTTGCACCTATCAGGAGTTTTCTCAGTGAAAAGATTTTAAGCTGAAAGGAGGGAGAAAGGCTGTACTGCCTGTATCAGCACTGACTCAACTTGACATGAACAAAGGTTAAGAATTAGGTGAGAAAGGAATTTGAACTGGGGCCAGAGAAGGTAGGAAGCAAGAGAGGATTCCTAACATGAAACAGAAGGGATTTGTGAGCACAGGACAGTGGGGGCAACAGAAGGTACTAGACTTCTTCAAACTAACTGAAACACTGAAATAACCAAGGAGCAAATTCAATATCAGGTGTCAGTCTAAACTGGCATTGCATTGTTTTCCTCCTTATGCAATTCTGTTCTCAAGTTTGTGATCAACAAACCCTTTCTCTTATTAGAAAATCCTACTTTCATCCTAAGTTTATATCTTACGTAACCTCAAAGGAAACACAAGAACAAACAGATCCATGGTTACAAGTCCAAATTCTCTCTACTGACAAGCTATGGACATTTTGGAAACCTCAGGAACGGAAATGTTTCCCATCATGCTGCAACAATACATTTGTGAAGCAGGGCTAGATACAGGAAAAAGTCTCCATTACCGCCCTGCTGGCATGAATCAGTCCCAACATGAAAGAGCTGACAGAGGAAACAAATACTACCTGAATGGGAAAACCTGGATTAGTTATTCACTAATCCAGTCATTAGTGGACCAGCAGACCAGCTCTAGGAAAGTGAAAGAAAGGTGACTGGAAATTAAGGATAGCAAATGACAGTACTATTTAACCTACCTGAAAGACTTTTTATTCATACCTAGGTATTGTTTCCCATTAAAAGTTGCAAATAGGATTAAGCTAATTCTCCTACTGTTTTTTTCTAAGGAGGGAGAATCTAACTTGAGGTCAAATCTATCCTGCTACATTAGCAGTTCTGGCAAATAAGTGGAAGTCAGCAAAGCTTTAATTTAAACCTGCTAGGCATCCCACAGCTTGTAGATCTTCAGATTTGAGCATTCATGATGTATTAAGACAGAGCTGGCCCAGGATCTCAGCAGTATGGCAGCGCTGACATTGGCCAAGCAAGAATGAGGACAAAGCACCCAAAGGAGAGAGGCAGCATGTGAGGCTGGGAGGCTGTGGAGCGCATCCTGCCGTTTCTAGGCACACAGGACTGAAGACAGCAACTGTTGCTGTAACGTAAGCCTCATGAGTCCTCTCTTGCGAAAGCTGTTGTGCTACAAAGAACTTGAGGAGTATGAGAATTGGGTGCCTGGTCCCGGTCCCTCTTGGCACTACCAAGATAGGCATTTATCTGCCCTTGGCAATTTGCCACCTCAGGCAGCTGCCACCTTTGCCCGTGCGATGTTCACCATTGTGCTGTAGCGTTGCTTCAAGTGCTTTGGGCAGCATTTGAGATGAATAATTAAATATACTTCAAGCACTTTTTTTTCCTCATTAACCTGCAGCAGTCATCTGCCTCCCTGACCTGGAGTGCTGGGCAGACCTGTTTAAACTTAAATTGCTCATGTGGCTACCCCTGAAAAGGAAGTGACACAATTATACAAGTTCAGCTTTCACTCTTTCACCAGTCATACCCTCTTTAAGTGGGAGAACTGGAACCACCGAGATCACAGAGATCCAAAGGGGGCCTCTGGTGCAAACCACCTCGGTATCACAGAATCACACAGATTCACAGAATGGTTTAGGTTGGAAGGGACCTCTGGAGATCATCTAGTCCAACCTCCCTGCTCAAGCAGGGTCCTCTAGAGCATATTGCCCAGGATCACATCCAGACGGGTTTTGAATGTCTGCAGCGAAGGAGACTCCACTACCTCTCTAGGCAACACGTGCCAGCATTCAATCATCCACATAGTAATGACGTTTTTTCTTATGTTTAAATGGAACTTCCTGTGCTTCATTTTATGCCCGTTGCCTCTTGTCCTGTCGCTGGGCACCACTGAGAACAGTCTGGCCTCATCCTCTTGACACTCCCCCTTCACATACTTATACACATTTATGAGATCGTCTCTCAGTCTTCTCTTCTCCAGGCTGAACAGGCCCAGCTCTCGCAGCCTTTCTTCAGAGGAGAGAGGCTCCAGTCCCCTCATCCTCTTGGTAGCCCTCCGCTGCACTCTCTCCAGGAGTGCCATGTCTCTCTTGTACTGGGGAGCCCAGAACTGGACACAGCACTCCAG